TTTTTTTTTTTTTTTTTAAATTCAATTTATTTTACGTGGTTTAGAATTTGAATTCATTTCCCCACACTTTAGTTTGCTAGGGTAAAAAGCCAAATGTAAAGCTACAAAAACGCTTTACAGTCGGCATAAAAAACCTAGATCTTTTCATATACATATTTACAATATTTAAAAATTAAGAAGGTAGATATTTTCATATTTGGTTATTTTCAAAAATTAAGATTAATTATTTACAATAAATATTTTTCATTTATAGAGTTATTCCTGCTTTTTTTACAAATTGATATAATGCTTTTATGTTTGTATTGTTTTTTTGATTTTTTAATAAGTTTAGTACTGATTCTTTTTCATTTTTAATTACGTTAATACTTTTTCTGATTTTATTATATTTTATACAATGTAAGAAAATATGATCAATGTCATCAACTTGACCCCTACATGTAGTGCAATTTTGTGATCTTTTTATTTTAAATAATTTTAGCGTCTTGTTGCAGAGTGCATGTCCTGTTCTAAGTCTCGTTATAATTTTTATTTCATGTGTAGAGCCCCTATAATTGTGGAACCACGGTTTGAATCTGGGACTCCCTTCAATACTTCCGTACCATTGTCCTTTCGTCTTTATAATCTCTTTGTATTCGTTAGTCCATTCTAATTTAATTTTTTCTATTATTTTATTTATAGATTCAGTAAATGTCAATTTTGTTTCAATTTTTTCTGTATTTTCATTTGTGTCGTTTGCTAATGTGTCCGCCATCTCATTACCGGAGATTCCTACATGTGATGGTATCCATCTAATTGTAATTTTTTGTGTCAAATTATTAATTTTAGAAATGAGATTTTCAATGTGACCATTTTTAGTTTTTTCTGTCGTCCCTTTTTTAATCATTTTAACTGCTGTTTCTGAGTCTGTAAATATTGTTATGTCTTTGTCTTGTTTTTGTGCAATTTCGATTGCTTTACTGATCGCAATAATTTCTGCGTTCATAATATTTGTGTCGTTTCTTAGTGCGAAGGAAAATTTTTCCTTACTGTTTTTTATAAAAATACCGATTCCCACCTTATCTTCCGTTTTGGAAGCGTCAGTGTAAATAGTGTAATTATTGTTTTTTGAATTTTCGTGAATTGTTTCTAGTCCTATTTTATTGTTATATTCTTTTGTATTGTCGCTTTTTTTGGTTTTATGTTTTTCAGTTTGAATATCAATATTTATTTTAGATTTAAATCTGTCTTTGTTTTTTATGTGTGTTAAGGATTCTGTATCATTTAAATAGTGTAGATATCTGTTCTTAACAGCTTCCGCGATCGAGTTTTTTGGTGTTATGTAAAGACCGTTATTTGTTATATGTTGTTTAAGTAATTGTTTTATGTTTGTGAGTTCTAATCTATGTTTAATTGGTAGAAGACCAGCCTCACTAATTAATACATGAATAGGAGTAGTTTTAAGTGCTCTCAAAAACATTCTTACGCATGTATTTTGTACCGTTTGTAGTTTTTTAATTTGTGTCTTGTTATTGTTGATGTTGCATGAGTGGTAATCAATTTTTGACTGTATAATAGCCTTGTACAGGTTTATTAGAGTCGACTGATTAGCACCATGCTTTTGTCCGCAAATTGCTTTTACGCAATTTAGTCGTTTGAGGGTGCTTTGTACGAGATGTTCTGTGTTAAAATTAAATGTAAGTCTAACGTCTATTAAGATACCTAAATATCTTGTCTGTGTAGTAGTCTGTATTTCATTGTCCTCAATTTTTAATTTAGTGTTAGTTAGGTCGTTTTTGTTTTTAAATATTATCATGTTTGTTTTGTCTTTGTTAATTTCTAGGTTTAATTTTTTAACTTTGTTAATAATTTTATTTAAATTTTTTTGTGTTTCTTTTAATTTTGTGTCCGTATTCATTGTTCTTATTCGTATAGCTAGGTCGTCTGCAAATTGGTATATTTTAATTTTGTTTCCGTAAGTATTTTTAAGTATGTTTTGTGTGAAAATATTGAATAAATCAGGGGACAGAGGGTCACCCTGAAGAAGTCCTAAGCTGGTCTTAATACTTGCTTTTTGTCCGTCTTGTGTTGTTATTGTCATTGTTTTATTTTTAAGTGTGTGTCGTAAGTAGTCTATAATTTTGTAAGGGTAATTAAGTTTTATGAGTGTGTCTATTAATAAGTCAATGTTTACAGAGTCGAATGCCTTGTTAATGTCTAAAAATATAACCGCAACGTGGTCGTATTTTTGTTTAGAATCTTTTATGTCGTTAATTAGGTCGTTTATGCAAAGTTTAGCGTTTTTGTCTCGTCTAAATCCGTAACATCTTTCATTAAAGACATCATTGTCTTCAGAGAATTCAATGAGTCTTTTTTTGATACAATGATTGATGATTTTTAGTTGTGTCTTCATGAGTGCTATAGGTCTATAAGAATTTATGTTGTGTCTGTCTTTGTCGGGTTTTAGTATTGTCTTAATGTCAACTTCTTTTAACCGTTCTGGTATTTTTTCACCGTTCCACACATCGTTAATTTTTCCCATAAAAAATTCTTTTATATGAGATGGCCAGTTGGAAATGGTTTTAAAATTAACTTTGTCTTTTCCCGGTGCCGTATTTTTTGTCGCTTGTTTTTTAATAACGTCTTCTATCTCTTCTATGTCAAATTCTCGGTTGTAATATTCGTTTTTGTTTTTGGTTTTTCGGGGGTTATTATTTACAAATTTATTTAAAGTCTTTTTATTTACAATTTGGGGTTGGGATATTTTAAAGGTAGCAGGTTTGACTATATTTTGTTCTGTGTCAGATACCAATTCAAATTTAGAGTTAAGATAGTCTTGTGCATTTTTTAAATCGTCTTCAACGATGTTGTAAATATTGAATTTATTTTTATTCGTAAGTTTGTTTAGATTTTGATAAATAGTTTTAATGTTTTGCGTAGGATGTAAGTTTTTAATAAATTGTTCAAAGTTTTTGTTTTTATTATTTCTAATTTCCGTTTTCATTTTAATAGTTATGTCTTTTAATTCTTTGTAAAGTAATTGTGTGTCTTTTTTTTGTTTTTTGAACGTATTTATTTTTTTAAAAATGGATCTTTTTATGATTTTTAATTCATTAATTTCTTTTGACCAGTAATTTTTTGGGTAAAAGAAATTATAATTTTCGAGATTTTTTATTGTGGTGCATTCTTTACAAATTTTTTCGTGTTTTTCTATAAAGTGTTCGTAAGTTTCGTCTTCATCAATGGTTAGGTCTAGTATTTTTTCGTTATATGTGTCTGTGTTAAAGAAGGTAAGTCTTTTTAATGTTCTGTCTTGGGTTTTATCGTTTAGAGTTAAGTTAATCGCAAAGTGGTCACTATTACACGTTTCGTCAGATACTTCGTATTTTTTAATTCGATCAAAATATTTATTATTTACAAAAGTTAAGTCAATTGTTGAGTCCGCTTGTCTCTGATTTCCCTGTCTCGTAATTATTTTTCTGTTTTTAAATAAATTTATTTCTGTAATATTTACAAATTCACTGTCAGCCATCAACTCAAAAACTAATCTACCGACAGATGATTCTTTTGTTGAGCCCCAAGAGGCATGGTGAGCGTTAAAATCTCCACCCAAAATAATCATACCATCAATGTCCGTCAGTCCCTGAATGATTTCTTTCAGATCTTTTTCTTTTATTTTAAAAGTCGTTTTGGTCTCGTTTGGATTTAAATAAATGGAGAAAATGTGAAAGGAGTCCCTTTGAGTGACAACTTTCGCACCTACGATATCTGTTTTTGTTGTGTTAATTTCAATTTTTTCTGTTTTAAATTTTTTATTTACGAAAATTGCCACTCCCGCAGTTTTATTTTTGTCTGGTCTAATTATGTTATATTTCGCGTGATAGTATTCTTCATTTGTTTTTAAACGAGTTTCTTGTAACAAGACTATGTCACTCTGTACCTCGCTTAAATAGTTATCTAGATAATGTTTATTTGATTTTAATCCTCTAATATTTAGTTGTGTAATTGTAATATTTTTTTCTAATTTATCTACCTTCTTACCTTTTTTCTTTTCTTTGTTTTTATTTTTATTTATAAAAAAGAATTTCTTGAGTTTTGTCTTGAGTTCATGTTGTCGTCTTTATCTATGTTTATGTTGTCGTCTTCTCTGTCGATTTCGATTGATTGGATGTTAGTTGTAATGTTTGGTTGTTCACTGGTTTCTGTTTCCATGTTTTCTGTCGTCTTGTTCGTATTTGTTTTTATTTTTTTTGCCTCTTCTTCCATCTTTCTTTTTCTGATTCTTTCTTTGACGGTGTTGAGAACTTCTTCGTTTGTTTGTTTAATATATTGTTTATGGTCGAAGTGTGCTTGCTTATTTGCATAAAATTGTTTATTGTCACTGTAATATTGTTGAGCTTCTTTTATTATTTCATTAAAAGGTTGAATGTTTTGTTTGTCTTTTGTAGTAACTTTTCTTGCTTCAACCAGTCTATCGTCAATTTTATTGAATGAGAAATTTTGTGATGTTTGTCTTTGTGTGCTTGGTAATTCAGGAAATTCTTTGGTTGATAGTAAACCGTAGTAATTTGAATCATATTGATTTTTCTTTGTGTTTCTCAATTCCATGAATAATTTGTTGTTGTATGCTACTTCGATGTTTAAGTTTTTTTGTATTTCTCTCTGTTTGCATTCTTGTGAATTGATTTTGTGATTTTCTTTACACATGTAGCAGTAATCAGAGCATGTTTCTGTTGGTAAATGATCTTTTCCACATTTATAGCAGATCTTTTTATTTCTGCATGGGAATTGGACTGAGCTTCGATGACCGAAGCGAAGGCAATCTCCACAGAATTTGATGTTGATGCGAGTGATCTTGACTTTACGTAACGTGTGAAAGATTTTGACTTCTTCGGGGAGAGATTGTGCTCGAAAAGTGATCAATATTTTATCAGTTGCATGTTTTTTGTTATTGTTGATGGAATCAGGTAAGTCTTTGTTGTATTGTTTATTGTTGATTATGATTCTTTGTATTTTAATTACTGGAGAGGTAGATGAGAGGCCTTCAGCTAATTCTTTTAACGAGAAAGAGTTTGGGATATCTTCAATAATACCTCTTTTTTCGAGGATGTTTCTGGGAATATAAATATTCTTGTTGTCTTTGTTGATGGTGTTACAAAGTGTGAGATTGTTGGCTTGATGAAAGGTATTGAAAGTAACTTTTATGTTGTGGAAATTTATTTTTTCAATTTTTTGAATACCATTAATGTTGTTGGCCATTAATTCTTTGTTGATTTCTAGGTCATTGAATTTTGTGTTGTTTTTTGACGAGATAATGACAAAGAAGGGGCCATTGTCTTGCTTGTTATACAAGTTTGAAAAGACATCTTTGTCTTTAATGAAATTCTCACCTTCCTCGAGATTCTTCATTTTGTAATTTTTATTGTCTTCATCTGTGTTAAATTTACGTCTTTTATAAAGAGTTGTCACTTCCAGCTTTGTTTTTTGTTTTGTATATATTTATTTTGACGAAGTTTTGATTTTTTATGATTTTCACTGATTTTTGGTTTTTTTTGTGTTTTTAACTGCTTTTTTGTTTTTGAAATTCAACGTATTTTATTATTTTAAATGTTGCTTAAAATGTCCACCAGGGGGCGCTGTTTTTCAGATTTTTTGGTTGGAGTCTTTGCTAATTTGAATGTGTCTTCGGTTGGTGAAATTTAATATTTTGTTATGAAATACTTCACTAAATCACTAAAATGTTTTAATTTTTTGTCTTGAAACGCTTCTTCTATCGTCTATGATGATTTCTGTTGATTTTTATTTAAATCCTTTCGGATTTATGCGATTTTTTCGCAACTTTTTGTTGGCGTCCTTTTTGTTTTTCATATGATTATTGTTTATTGAAGTCTTATTAACTGTTTTTATATATTTTTTGCAATTGAAATTGCTTTTAAATAATTTTTATTCGCTTGTTGAATTTTTTGCTTGTGCTAGCTTTAAAACCAAGATGGCGGAT